TGGCTTCGCCGGCCCCGACTGCCGCATCAACATCGACGAGTGCGCGTCGTCGCCCTGCGCCTTCGGCAGCACCTGCAGGGACGGCCCCGGCTACTTCCGCTGCGTGTGCCCGCCGGGGCGGTCGGGCCACCGCTGCGACCGTGTCGAGCTCGCCAACGACACGGGCGTCGACGCGCCCAAGCCGTGCTTCTGGGGCGGCGAGCTGCGGCAGCACGGCGCCGTGTGGACGCACCAGTGCAACTCTTGCCATTGCAGCCACGGCACTGCCTCCTGCTCAGGCGTCTGGTGCGGCCCCGAGAACTGCCTGCGCTCGCGCGACCCCGCGCACTACCCGTGCAAGCCCGTGCAGGTCGGTCGGCTGGTATCTCTGTATGTTATGATTCTATTATTGCTTCATACTGTCTATTTATACGTTCATGTAGGGAAAACACTCTTGTGTACACACACGCACACACATGCATTCACACTCACACATACGCATGTACACAAACCCTAATCACGACTCCATCCCCCGCAACGCCCCAAGGCCGGCCTAACCCCTCCCTCCTCCGCTCACAGGTGTGCGTGCCGGGGCCGCCCGAGTGGTGCCTGGCGGGCGCGTGCGAGCCGTGGGGCGAGTGCCGCGACCTGAGCCACGACGCGCAGAAGGTGGCGCCGCCGACCAACCCTGGCCCCGCGGACTGCCAGCCCAACCGCGCCACGCTCAACAACGCCTGCGCGCGCCTCACGCTCGTGCTGGACCGCGCGCGCCTGCACGTGGGCGCCCGCGTGCAGACCATGTGCCGCGGCCTGCGCGCGGCCTGGGCAGGGCGCCACGGCCACACCGCTGCGCCCTCGCCCGTCATCCTGTGCGGCCTCGTCGCCGGAACCAACGACACGGTCGAGGTCACGCTGGTGAGCCTTCATGTTCTTCTTGTCGTTTTATCACTGTACTTGTTCTGTGTTGATATCGATTCTAATGATGGTTGTGATTCTTCATTTTCATCATCCCCGTTAAAAGCGCTCACGACGACCTCCGCTAACCACTCTCCTCCCCCCCCTTCCCCCTACAGTCGTATCCTACAGGAGGTCCTCACGGTGACGTCACGGTCGCTGCGAAGACCCTCGGCGAGCTGGTCAGCAAGAGGCTCACCACCGTCAGCGCCCTCACCGCCGTCGTCGAGGTCAAGGTGGAGACGACGGTCGTCAGCGGCGAGAACCCAGGTCGGTTGGAGGGCGGGGTCATGGGGGAGGGGGGAGGGGGGATGAGGAGATGGGAGGATGGAAGATGGGGAGAGTGAATAGAAGGGGAGCATGAGGGAGGGAGGGAGGGACAGGGAGGAGGAGGGAGAGAGAGAGAGAGAGAGAGAGAGAGAGAGAGAGAGAGAGAGAGAGAGAGAGAGAGAGAGAGAGAGAGAGAGAGAGCGAGCACACACTCCAAACGTAAATAACTCTAACGCCGTGTCTCTGTCTGCCAGGTATCGCCAACGGGGTCCTGGCGGCCGTGACGGTGGTGCTGGTGGTGCTGGTGGTCCTGGCGGTGGCGGCGCTGGGCTACTGGCAGTGCCGGCGGCGCCACCTGCAGGCGCACCACCGCAACGCCTTCCCGTCGCACTCCTCGCGCCACAAGCTCGCCGAGGACGCCCACGCCGAGAAGTCCAACAACGAGAACGAGGAGAAGCTGTGGCGCTACCACAACCCCCTCAAGACCTCGTCCTTCTGCGGCGGCCCCGGCGACGAGGCGGGGCCCTCCTGCTCGCGCGTGACCCCGCAGGGCCCCGGCGACCCGCGGGTGGCGCCCCTGGGCTCGCCCGTGGGCCTCATCCAGGTGCCCAAGGCTAGCCTGGCCACGCCCGAGACGGACCTGAGCGACTGCGAGTCCCCGACGCACGGCCTGCCGGCGGCCATGCGCAAGGTGCAGAACGCCGACGTGGAGCGCAACATCACCCCGCACGACCCGGCCTGCAAGAGCATACAGAAGGAGATCAACCTGAAGGCCATCTCGCCGAGGGCGGCGGAGGCGGACCACGTGACGAGCGAGGTGGTCGTATAGCAGAAGGACTTCGGTCCTCCCTCCTGCAGGACCCCAAGCGTGACGTGGGAGGGCGTGCTCGTGTGCGTGCCCGCGGCCCGCCCCTCGCGCCTGCCATGTTCCCAAGTGCCTAAGCCACGAGTGTGTTCACGCGGGGATTTCCCCTTCTGACGACGCCCCAAGGGGAGCTTCGAGCTCCTCCCGCCCGAGTGACGATTGTGCCTCCCCCCCCCCTCCCCGTGAAGTGATGGCGCGGTGGCGTCGAAGCGGTCGGAGACTGCGGACACTTTAGTGGTGCCGACGCGACCCTAGTGCGTGCGACGCTCGCTTGCGGCTAAGAAACCTCGTGACGACTTCTTGTACAGTGCCTCATGGACCTTGCGCTGGTGTGACGGAGCCTCGGGGCCTCCGCCTCGAGCGCCCGTCACAGCGCCCACTCATAAACCTCATGACCGTCTTCGTGACGACGACGTCTCCGGTGCTCCTGCGACCGTCCTCGAACCGTTTCCAGAACTCTTCACGAACGCCTCTGGGGTCACAGCGAAGGCCCGTGACTCCGCCGGCGCTGATGACAGGCGCTCGGTGACCCCGGAAGGAATCGTGGCGACACAAGTGGTATCCAAAACTGTCAAGTCGTGAAGACCTTTTTTTCGTAAACGTTTTGCGGATCCTCGTGACCAATGTCCAAGCAACTCGTCTTGGATCTTATGAGGCTCTCTCGAATGTTCAGGTATGATGTATTTTATATCCAAAGGCTTTTTGAACGTTCACTCCGATGCAGGCGGCCGCGCGCGGAGTGAGGCAGCCACCACGGGCTTCACTTCCGCGGCCGCGAACACCCACTGACGACGCATATCCTCCTCAATCTCCTGGGACGTTCTTCGACTATGCATATCCCTCATTAGCTCGAGAATTCACAGATAAGGCATATCCAGTACCTCCAAGCACTCCTTAGACAGAATGGTGCATACCTGGTGCTTCCACGGACGTTCGTTGCTCGAAGGAAAAGGAAGAACGTGCACCCAGCGGCCGCGCTGACGATCCAGCAATCCGGTGTTTCTACGAACGTTCGCGCAGGACTTTGACAGAATGCTCTATGTTTAACGAACGTTCGGTAACGATGCATATCTGGCTCTCTGCTGTCCGTTATCGCTTACTGGCGGTCCTTGTCTGCCTCCGGTACCTCAACCAACGACCAATTTGATGCTGTGTTTTGTCGACGCGCCATCTCCCGGAGCGTTTGCCGATGGATCCGGGTCTCTCGTCATGGCGCATTCAGTATCCGTATCTCAGTGTTTACTGTAATGTATTCATCCTCCGGTACTTATAAGAGCGCTTGTTTGTGTGTTATATGCGGCATCAGCTATCATCACAGCGTTCTCCGTTGACGAACGCGGTATCCAGCGTCAGTTAAAAGCGAAAATGTGAATCCGCGGTGGACTGGATATCCGCTCACCCTTACGCGAACGCAATGTATAACTTTACTATTTACTGCATATTCTCAGTGTAAAACGGAAGAAAAGATTGTGGAATACACATATGTTTTTAAACTCCTCTCTACCCTCCCCCCCCCCTTCAAAAAATAAATAATGGATGATGTGTTTATAGAGAAAGAGATAAATAGTTTTTATGTGACGTAGACTTTTAAAAAAAAGGGAATCCGATTATTTTGTACTAGAGTTGGGGAGAGGCTTGGGTCTCTCTCCTCGGGGAATCTGCCTTAAGGAGTCAACACATTTCCTCTTTAAAGCCCCGACTGTATATTTATCTTTTTTTTAAATATATGTATCTCCCTTTTTTCTCTCTCACTTTTTTTAGCGGAACCAGTAGTTGTGTTTTTTTGTTTCTTTTGTGTTTTATTTTTCAGTCCTTGTTTATTTTTTTTTTTTCATTTCCTGCGGCCATGTTGCTTGTGAGAGCTTGTATACTGCCTTATATATGAGCGCTTCTGTATAAAAGATAATAATGGCCCCGGTGTTTATATAACTGTATAGATTGTAGCAGATTTTTATAGTCCACAGGGCAGCGGAAGATCGTGATCTCTAATAATGACAAAGTTCATTGTGTGTTTTTTTTTCGAATCGATTTCTATGTTGATCAATTTCTTTTGCGGGTTTTCTTTAGTGATTGACGTCACTGTTATGACGTCATGGGCAGGTCGTGACGTAAGATAGTGAAAAAAAAAGAGTTTTCAATGTTGAGATCAAATTTCTCTCTATATGTGAATATCAATTTAATTTTTTTAAAGAATGATAATAATAAGAAGAAATGAATTAGGACGGAATACCAAATGTCAGAATGTTTATCTGATGAATTCTTACGTCACGACTTCGCTGAGGCCTCGCAGTCTAAATCTATTTTTCTGATAATACTCACACTTGTTTCTGTTGCATCCCTCAGCTCTCAAACTTCTACAATACCTGATATCGATGTAGAAAGCTGTGATATTTTTGTACATTTGTATTCAGTGTTGTGCAATGTATATATGTAAGTATTTATTGATGTTAAACCTTAGCATCATTGACGCCATTATTATTATGATTCCGCTAAGGGGGGCGCGAGGATCGGTGGGTTAAGGGAGGACTAAAAGAAAAATGATTTTTTTTTTAATCAACTTGGAAAATATATATCTATATATATATATATAACTATATAAATCTCGTGACAAGATTTTTTTTTCTAAAGTTCTCTCATAGGGAAGAGAAAAGTAGATAATCCCCCACACACAAAATGTAGAAAACAAAAGAAGAAAAAATAAAACACCAATTTTCAGGCAAGCTATGTGAAAGAAAACGGGAAGTGTCCGTTTTCTCTCTCCACGAGGATAAAAAAAAGAGACAATTCCTCGATAAATAAAGAAAATAGACAAAAAGCAAACGAGAGAAAGGAAGAAAAATACACTTGAGAGTAAAACAAGACTAAAATCCGCCACGAAAGGGCTGTGATATTGTCGAAAATACCAGGATATTAAAGGGGCCACAATGACACG